TGGTAGCAGCTCACGTGTTACCGGATAAGCATGGCTATGCAGGCCGTAGCGGGGAATCACCAGGAGGGCGTTAGGCAAAATGGAGGGACACGTCTTTTTTTTGCGGTTAGCTAGGCTGTCCAACTGTACACTGCACTGTGCTATACTTTTTGGAATACCGGTGAAATGCTGTTGTGATGCATTTCATGAAATCTTAAATTTATCGCTAGTTTTCTTTTTCTCCATTTGTTTATAATTATAATTGATAAATATTTCAAAAACAGTTGTTTTTTATCGATTTTGATAATCGGTTTTTCAGCCGTATATTTGTTGAAAGTGCTTGTGTAAGGACGATTGATTTTAGTGGAGAGTATCTGTACGCATCGATAATACCCTTCACTCCCCTTCCCTCCGCTCCCTCTCCCCCCCTCCCGCCCCAAAAAAGTAGTTTTTTCGTTAAGTTGCTCCCTACACTGGTGCGTGAAAGTACCAGGGCTCGATCTGCTTTCGGCCTGCTTTTCAAGCTATCTGAAAATGAGGACAGCCATTTCTCGGACCGTTGTTGCGCATCGCGGTAATATGCCCTATCACGCCTGTGGATTTGTTGTCCTACTGTTTTGGCATAATTGGGCACAAAAGACCGATTTTTCCGAATATACTCTTTCCCTCATTTCTTCAGTAAAACCTCTCCTGCATGGACGATTTGGTTCATTCATTTCTCATTTTTGAATAGCTTCATATGGCGATAAGGAGTTAATATCAATTTCAGGAAGGATCATGTGGAACGATGGTAGCAAATCACCTGAAATTCGAAAGAACGGCGATAAAGGAAGTGACGTAAGTGAATATTTTTAAAAATTGGGGCGGAAGGTTGTATTTTTCCCGTTGTAAATCCGTTTGGGAATAGTGTTTGTAAATCGAGGAGTACGGAGACACATCGTTCTTGGTGATACCAACTTATTGCGCAAATTTTTTTTAAAATAAAATTGTGCTTAGTGCTACTGCCGAATCAAAATTCCTGTGGCTTATGCAATTGACATTCGTTAGCAAGAGCTTTTTCAGGTAATTACTAGAAGTTGGCTCGGCTTGCTTGTCTTGGAGGGGGAGCTGCAATGACTGTGGTGGGTGCCCTTCGGATAGCGGGATAGGGGTAAAGGTAGGTAGGGGAAGCTGGTTGGCAGAAGTGGTGGTTTAGGCTCGGGGGTTATTACAGATTCACTGGAAAAGAAGCTGAGATCTTGCTTTGAGACAGGAATTGGAAACTGGAACGGGGATTATATTGAAAACGGGGTAGGGAGGATGGGGAGGGGAAGAGATAGGTGGGTTTGTGATGTTAAGTAAGAACTGGGTGAAAGCTGGTAGATACACGCTTCCACGAACTTCGGAACATCGGGGGAGGGGAGGGGAAGGAAAGGGAGGGGGGAGGGGGAGATCCGCCCCTGCGTGACGTTATGATTTTCGCACCTGTTATCCGAATCCGTGAATGAGTGTTTTTTTCCCAAGAACGAGTGCGTTTTGCTCAAACCGAGTTTTGTTAATCGTCGTGTTTAGAGGACTTGGGGTATTTGGAAATTTCGGCGTTTACTGAAACTTGGCTTGACTTTATAAGATTTGAGATGAATTCTGATGATTATGATGTGTCTTTCATAGATAGTGATTGGAACTCGAGAACAAAGGCAGGAATTATGGGGCGGGGAGAAAAGAAGGTTGGGGGAGGGAAGCTATATGAGTTTATGACGTAGAATAAGGAACTGAATGGCAGCGAGAAAGCTATCGCTGAACAGTATTACTTATGCAAATGTCCGTGCTTATGTGTGCCTGAGTTTTTCGCAGTTTTCATCTAAACCCGCGAACGAGTCCGTTTTTCGTAGCGGAGCCAAGTGAAGCGAGGTTTTAGTAATTGCACAAACTTCGAGTTTAGCATAGAGTTTTCACCAATTTTTTTTTTAAGTAAAATTAGCCTCAGTAATATTAGTGAGTCACAAAATTACATTTTTTATTGGCCTACCCTAGGACTTTGCGACCCCATGCGACTGGAGAATGACGTCTTTTTGTGCTCCTCTTTCCTCCGCATGCTAGTGTTAATTGGTTTTTTTTTTCATCCTGTACGCTGTACATTCCGCGATTTCAGGATCACAAAAGCGATGAAATGATTGAAAGAAGCGACGAAGACACGCGTTCTCGCTCTCATTCGGAGCAGTCCCGCTCACGCTCACGGTTTCCTATCTTAGCTTTTCTCCTACTTAGATCATAGATCAGTTTTCTTGTAGATTATCTTTCGCCACACTCTTGGCGTACTAGTATCTTGTAGCGATATCTCTGGTCCCCTTTCTCCGCTTCCATTTCCCCGCTCTTTTCCTCTTGCGAGGATTAAAACGATCATCAAGAAATGTAGGGCCAAAGAATAAGAAAGAGGAAAAAGCAGATGTTTGGGAAAATACGAGAAGCGATATGGCTCTTGTGATAGAGGAGGCAGGTCAGGCAAAGTGACGGACTTATCATTCGAAGTATTGCGTTTCATTCAACAGCTTTTGTTACCCTTTT